ATATTACTACCGATCAGATTTTAATAATTCTTCTTTCTTAATTTGCCTTCATCGATAGTAAATAATGTTGCTTTCGATAATGCTCGAACCGTGTCGAACAAATAAATATACGAACCTTTTTGATAGGATCCTGTTGCACCGCAGTAACATATGCATGCAATGGATGCAGATGATACCGATCAAGATGATTCCGGCGGAGCCGACGAGAAGACCGGCGTTGGTAAGTGCCGAGGGCATAGCTAACACACCTGTGCCAATGTTGCCCTTCAAAAGGTGCATCATTGTTTGACCATTCCTAACGAAAAAATTGGATGAAGCATTGAAATAGAGTACTTAAAGAAATACTGTTTATTTTTTGATCCCGAGCTTAGTCTGTGGGATTTAATTGCATAGAATGTAGCGAAGAAAGATTACAATTATAGATTTGTTAATACTTATACATGCCTCTTTCAAGTAGATAGGAAAGATAGGGCCATTAGCTAATGTAAGCATACAGGAATAGAGCCTCATCGACGTATAGGTTACGACTAAGTATTTTTGTCAGCAGAAAACTTACGTGGTCAAAGAGTGGTATCTTGCTCCATTTCCTCCCATTGAGATGTTATCGGCTACCGATTCGGCGGGAGCACCTGTTTTACCGCTCTCGAGCGAACTGACCGAGTTCGTCCGTAAGAGGGAGTCCATTTCCCGCTTGTCTTTGCCTGTCATCGCCTGAATAAAAAGGAAAATCCAAATCAAAAGAAACAGAGTTCGCAGTCGCTTGATGTCACGAGCTAGTAAACTATATCCTATGCTTAAAATACGGGAACGAGCAACTGTTTCAGGTATTCTATTGCCATAAACTTCTTAATGTCTGGTTACCAAATCTTGTTTGCAAAACTAACAATCGCCAAGTGTTCTTCATTTAATTATATACGACTAACTCAAGTAAGTCTATATAGTCGAATCTGTTTAGTCCGTGTGTGGATAAAGCGCACAGCGTTGTAAGCATCTTTCCCGCCGATATTATTCATGCCGCTTATCTTCATGAATACAAACACTACCTCGATAAGAGCGAAGACCCGAATAACAGGTGGCATAGACCTACCCTGGCTGATACGACATCCGTCACGGATACATGCAGTACGTTTCGACTGCTTCTAATGGGCGCACGTTACAAACGATTTCATGGCGCCAGTAAAACCAGATAAATCTTAGAGGCTGGTCCAGCAGCGAATGCGCATGAGAGGACTAGTTACGTGTGTTCCACTATTTTTTCAACTGTGTCTGCGTTTATTATGGATGTCACCGATGATTTAAACGTGACGACGACGAAAATATATCTATATCGTAAGTGTCAATTTTTTCTCGAAACTCAGGAGGATACATTATTCAATGAAGACATTTCCAATGTCTCTGATGAACAAAAGGCCGCGTCGATTAGGGTTGCCTATTAATTTGTCTCGAAAAATCTATTTGCTAGACAAGTAAGAGAGTAAACAAAACTGTCCTTGCTCCAAAAACTCCAAAGGTTAGGATTTCTATCAGAATTATTTTTTGTGCAGCCTAATGAGTTCCGTCGTTTATGGTGGACCTCAGTTTTTAGCAGAGAGATTTGTAAAGCAGAAATCACGGCCAGAAGAAAACCATATTGAACACGATTAAAAAAGATTGAACGGGCTTTCTTGACTCTGCCGAATGGTTCTCTCTAAATAGGAACTCCACCAGCTGCTGTTTAATATGGGACTGTTAGCGTCATGTATGAGTTTCCTAAACTATAAATAATATTTACATATAAATATTAATATTATTTAAAAAAAATCTCTAAAATAAATACATAGAAAGATGCGTTACGATGGCTTGATCCGAGGCACGAAAGTGCCCCGTTGACTATATTAATTAACCAGTGGCTGGCCTTAGACAAGTTAGTATCGCGTACGCTAATGAACATGTGAGTTGTCAAATTGTGCTGCGGATCGTTCTATAATGAACCGTACGTGTTAGGACGGGGCACGTAGAGCCAGTCACCGAAGGGTAGAGGATGATTTGCTCCCGGGGGGGTATCTTGTAAGGCCCATTAAATCCAAAGATTTCAATAACGAAATTTGTATAATAATGCGGACTGCATTGAAAAGCTTCTCATTTTGTCACTGCTATTAACATCCATATTACTATATCTGCTATAGACAGAACGCGTATTTCACGCACATATACAACGTTTTTATGTGAACAATCCTTTTATAGACAAATTCTATTGGTCGAATGGCACAATAATGCGGTCGACCCGGGCAACAGAGATTTCGCTATCTTGGCGTGCTCAATTTCTACAAACAAGCCCAATGATATACAGCGCGTTTCTATTGGCAAATGTATTTGAACGACTCGTATTCACGCATCGTTTGTGTCGACTGCTATACACCGGCCTGTCGCAACTTCTCGCTGATAGAAATCCGATGCCTCTTTGCCGTAGTAGATAGGTACAAAAGCACAGATCGTCACGCGTACACATCACGAACATTGAGCTATATCAGGGACGCATTAGGTTCAAAGTTCAATAATCGTTTGTGATGCTTGCAGTAGTTGTCGATATGAGCTCTGTATGGGGTAAATTCTCGCAAGGGGCGCTGAGGAATTCTTTATCCATGAATACCTCGTGGTCTATGAAATTGAATCAATGTCCCTGCGCGTCACTAAATAGGGGGCACTAAGGAGGTTAGCAATGTACAAGGAAAATTTCCAGGAGATATAAAAAATCAACCTGCGCTTGTTCCTTTGAGTCCTTGAGTAAATTTTAGGTTCAGATATATCTCTAGCGCTAGATCAGCATTGTTTTTAGATATAAGCTTGTTTTGTTTTGCTGTATTATAAACCATTAAATGAGGCCAGTGCGCTGCTTAGAGTCCTGCTAAAAACACATAAATATTACAAAAAAAGACCTGGTATGAACGCAGTTTTTTTTTACTATAAGTACTGAATACAATGGAAAGCCCCCACTTATAGACAGGAGAGCTTTGAATTCAGTGCATAAAACTTATTAAATGAGATTCGGCGATCCTAGTTTAACGCACAACCTCTACACCAAACTGGCGTAACTGAAGCAAATATCATTGGGCTTAGAACCTCACTTTAAGAACAAAAAATTAAATTGTCGGAAAAGTATTGATTGGTTATGAGCTAAAATTGGTGTCGATATTTTTTATACTTTAAAATAATATTACTAACGCAAATATGGACCATTCTGATCGCTGACCCTTTGCAGTTTCCTTGGTAACACCATAACTTTATCATTATCGAATCTTCATCAAGGCGACTGAAGTGATTCGGACCACAGGCAGTACACCAACAGACGATATATGGCTTCTAGTGAAGTCGGTCGAATAAATAGCTTCACTCAACACGACAAACAAATAGTGCCACGCGGCGTATCATCACCACCACTACTATACACATAACTAAGCATGCACAGGCAGATGTACGTAATATAATAGGTGATCGGTTTTTCAGCCAAAATGAAAGCAAATGTTTCCTTTTATATTTTAAATTAACACTAGAAAACTATATATGTACCATTTTAAACGATAAACTTCAGCTATTTCCTAGTAACGCCACTGTTTCATCACTGTAGGATTATTATAGTGTCAGGGCCAGGAATTGTAGCCAGTGATTGTTGTACCGTTCCATTGAAATTAAATCAATATCATTAAGGATACGCTGCGGAGACCGAAACAGAGCATTGTCTCATGGTGTACGATCGGCTATACGGCAGATATGTTAAAATTTCCATCGAAGCTCTTTCAATTTATGCCTTTTTTTTAGCTAAATATGTGTGCAGTTTGGTATGGTGGAAGCTAACGCCTTTTATGTTCATTAGATCCCATTGTTTCCTTCTCTATAGTTTGTAGTAATCTTGTTAGCTTTTGAATCAGTCATCCTTCTAGGGGGTAGCTTCCTGGTAATTTTCGATCCCACCGAACAGGTACTGGGGAACTGGACCTTATTTGTCATCCGTCTGATCCTTGTCACAGATTGTGAGGCAAGTTTTTTAGTTTGTTTTTTTTTTGCACGTAATTGTTGTATGTGATCTGCTTTTCGTCGCTCATGATCAGTTACGTTAGAAATTCTTCGATTTGGGAATTTCGTAGACGGAAATAATAACGCGAATAGTTTAAAACTGTTAGGCGGTGACTCTTTAGTTTTTTAGCGATGTCATCAGTACTCACATATCAGTCTTTCGCAACCAATTTATCGATCTTTTCCATAATTGCTAGCCCAATACGAGAAGCATTTTCATATAAAAATTTCAAAAGTGTTTTGGACAGTTGTTTTTAGCGACGTATCCTGATAATAAAAAACACAGATTTTTTGTCGGTTTGAGTAGCATTTATGCCTTAAACGTAGTAAAATTAATCAAATCATTGCAGGAGTTTTATTTTATGTCTGAATAAAGACATTTCAACATCAGCATATCTACTACTGTCAGATTTCAGCCTTGAAATGACACCAATGCTGACCCGATATAACTCCGATTTCGTGATACGATCAATATTTTTTTGATAACCCAATACATACATGGTATCACTCCGCCGAGGCGAATTTTAAGCGATAGATGTCCACACAACAAGGGGTATGCAACCTGTACCTAACTTTCCATTTTAAAAGGTCTTAACCTTCTGTGAATAAGACACGTCTAGTGAACTTCTGGGAAACACGATAGCAAACAAGTGAATAAAAAAATACCTTCATAAACTTATTTCCGATCCTAATAAGCTAAGGCCTTATTTCAACTTTATAAATACATATGGCCTGCATAACGCAGTACTCTCTTGCTAGTAGTAAATCCTTATGTAAGCAACCAGTTACATTCTCTTATACTAACCAAGAAATGGTTTCGACTGTTAAGCACTGATTTGTTAGCCGATATCCTTCCACCTCCCATATAGCTATTTATGCTTGGTGTGGCCATCTTGCCATTAGCGGCGGCTCTAATTAGGGAGTCCCTTTCTTTGTAGATCATCGCGCGGGTAGCTGCTTCGTTTATATATTTACTAGCCCGCTTGTATGAAGCGTGTCCATAAACACAAAAGAGATCACACTACAACAAAGCAACACTAACTCACTGCTTTATTCGTCACTATCATAAGCACAGCAACAGGGTGTAGTTTCAAGCTCGTTATGTAGACGCTCCTATTGTGGTCACTACAATCATGCGTTGAAAGGCACTGTTATTATTTAACTCTCACGATGGAACGTCAGACTTCCTGCAGAAAAAGCCGAGGGATCCTGCGAGCCTCGGAGAGCTGTAAAAAAAAACTGTGCACTCTAGTGCAAGATTCGTTTTCACTACAGCAGATTCGTGCCTCGTAAACTTTGTTTGGTTTAGTTCAAATGGAATTCGCGGACTGATCTAATAAGCGTATATAAATAAATATATGTAAGCTATTTGACGATCAGAATATAAAAAGCTGGAGTTTGACTAGTTTAATATCACTCGCGCAACAGCCCCTCTCCTTCTAATCGACGGAGGAGGATAAGGAAAGTACGTTCGCGCAGTCAATGACATTCGATGAGATCGCTTCTCAAAACGGCCACCGATTTGTTTCCATCGACGTTAAACCGAGGCGTTGACGCAGCGAAGCCGAAGTGCGTTAAATGCGGGAACAACAATAACTAACTCCGTGCGCGGTGGACCAGTCCTACCCCGTGTCGCAGTCGCTTGATGACACGAAGGGAGA